TGCCCAGTGTACTATGGGATTACCGAACCACAGTGAAGATCGCAATAGGCGAGACCCCCTTCAACCTCACTTATGGCACAGAAGCAGTAATTCCCGCCGAGATCGAGGTACCCACGCTATGCCAGGAAGCATATGATGACGAAGCAAATAAGGATGAGTTGCGCACCAACCTCGACCTGCTTGACGAGGTACGGGGTCTTGCATACATTAGGATCGCGGCCTACCAGCAAAGAGTAGCTCGGTACTATAACGCCAGGGTCAAAAAGCGAAACCTCCTCATCGGAGACCTGGTCCTTCATAAAGTTATGGTACTTGACCCTGGTGTTGGTTAGCTTGGGCCAAATTGGGAAGGACCCTACCAAGTAAAACTGGTGCTCGGGGAAGGAGCATATGAGCTCAAAACCCTAAAAGGGAAGCAGGTACCTCGAGCTTGGAACATCATCAACCTAAGGTAATATTATCTATAATTGTCGAACTAGGAGAGTGGACCATAAGTCGCTCCCTAGCCTAAGGGCCAAGATGCCAAGCTAACGAAAGAAGCTCGGCACTATAAGACCCAGTCGCCTCTGGCATGGGCGTACTCTAGGAGTGGACCATAAGTCGCTCCCCAACCTAAGGGCCAAGACGTCGAGCTAATGAAAGAAGCTCGGCACTATAAGACACAGTCGCCTCTAGCATTGGCATACTCTAGGAGTGGACCATAAGTCGCTCCCCAGCCTAAGGTCCAAGACGCCGAGCTAACGAAAGAAGCTCGGCACTATAAGACCCAGTCGCCTCTGGAATGGGCATACTCTAGGAGTGGACCATGAGTCGCTCCCCAGCCTAAGGGCCAAGACGTTGAGCTAACGAAAGAAGCTCGGCACTATAAGGAAACGTATTTCATTACAGAAATTTCATTACAAGAATATGTTCAGTACAAAGGAGAGGGAAAATCGAGCTCGCAGGCTCAAAATACAAACTACTCGAGGGGTTCATCCTTCTTGCTCGAAACTCTCGCGGAAGTGTCGGCCTGGTCAGTAACCTCTTCATCGTCACCTTCAGGCTCGGAGTCCAGGTCCTCGGCGGCTATACGGGCTACCTCTCCTGTGATCCGCGAGGTGGTGATCGCATTCACATCAAGCTGCAGGAACTCGCGCTTTATCAACCACCGACTAAGTTTGAAGCCTCTACGGTAGGCCTCCGCCATTACTGCGTCGAACTCCTCCGACTTGACATAATGCTGGACGGCCTTGGCCTTAGCCTTCTCCATGGCGCCAAGAACAATGTCAGTTCGCTCCTTGACGTTGGCTTCAAGGTTCTCTACTTGGCGCTTTAGAGTCCCTCTGTCCGACTTAAGGTTTTACACCTTGAGCAGTAGCTCCTCCTTCTCACGAAGGAACGCCTCCTTCTTGCGCTGCAACTCCTCCGCCTTGCGCTGCAACTCCTCCTTCTCCGATATCAGCACTTGGATGTAGTTTTTTCTTAGCAACGGCATCGCTCTCCAACCGGAGGACCTGACCGCGAACTAGCTGCAGGTCGGTGTGAGCCGCGCGGGCTGAGTCTTCGGCGGCCAGAGCTCGCTTCAGGTTCCTCTCAAATTGGAGGGTCAGGGTGTGGACGACGGAGTTCACCTGCCAAAAATACTAGTTAGTGCCAAAAAGGCAACATATTGCAAAAATTGAAGTTCAAGTGAAACTTACCACCATAGAGTGGGTATCTGCCCGAGCTTCGAGTTGGGTGGGCGTTAGCTCAGACCATTCGGAGACCTCTTCAGTGTACACAGCCGCTTTGCTCTTTCGAAGGCTGCACCTCGAGATCAAGATGCTCTGATCTAGTCCTCGCTCCCTGATGAGGTAATGGCCGTCTCAGGCGCAGGAGTAGGCCCCGTGGTGGGCTCGGACTCTTGAGGAGGGAGAAGGTTCTCCGACTCCTCCAAGTTGATCACTGAAGGAGCATCAGCGGGTTGCTCGGGCTCAGGGGTGGAATCCCATGGGGACTCAACACGAGCTCTCTTGGCAACTCGCTTCTTTCTCCCCTTCATCTTCACAAAAAGCTTCTCAGCATTAATTTGCTCCATTGGACCTGCAGCAGGAGTTCGACATCAGTAATGCTACTAAGTATAAGCTAGCTACCTAAGAAAAATACTAACTCTAAGACAAAGCGACCTAGCGAGACTCAGACCGGCCTCAATGAGTTTCTTCTTGGTGATGAAGTCCTTGTGGTCGAAGCCGAGCTCCGCCCAAGACTGGAGCGTCTCCCTCGTATCTTTGTCCAGCCTAATGCCAGAATCTTGAATGGCCACCCTCCAGTGGGCGGGGAAGGGCCACCCCACGAGGTTCCAAACTACAAAGTAATCCCGTTTCCAAGTCGGGATCTTGTTGGGGAGGTTGTGTAGTAGCTTGTAGCCCGGGCGAGGAGACAGGTAATAAGTCCGCCTGTGCTCGGGGAGAACACTAGATGCATTCTTGTTTATTGACAAAATGGAAGAGAAGATATCGAGATCAAGTGGAAGGGCGTAGTCAGAGTAGAGGGAGATTGTCCCGACCGCGTTCCGAATCGAGTTCGGATGGAGCTGGTCTACGGTGACAACGAAGTGATTTAATACCTCAACAATTAAGGGGTGCGGAGGGAGGCGGAGTCCGGCCACGAGCTGTTCCCCGAAGATCACGATCTCATCTTGATCGTGTTCCCAAGGGAAATCGCCTGCAAGAAGATGATAGGTGTTTTCCTTCGAAAGGTAGTACCGAGCTATAAGGCTCCTGAGCCTGTCTACCGTCATGGTAGAAGGACCGAACTTGTCAGGCATCTTAACTCGATGGGAGGTAGACGCCGGGTTGGAGGCAGACATCGGGTTACCCGAGGTCTCCCGCACCTCATAGGTGGAGTGTGCCTTAGAGACACCTACTTGAACTGAGGTGCCCACCTCGGGCTCATCTAAAAGGTTGTCAAAGCTATGGTCTAACATAGCTACTGAGACTAGGAAAGACTAAGGGAAGCTAACTACGAAATTGAAAAGACTGGAAACAAACTGAAGAGGAGAAAGAGGAGACTCACCAAGGGAAGCTGACCGAACTAAGAAGACTGGCAGACTCGAAAACCCGAGCTGAAGAGCTTAGCCGCGACCTCAAGACAAGTTTGTAAAACTTATGGCGAGGAAAATGGCTGGGGTTCCCCCTATTTATAGCCGCTATGTCCGGAAATCAACGGTCAAGATCAAGATGATCTAACGGCTCTCAAGAAAACCGGTTGCGCGACCCCCAAGGTGAAATCAGTTTAGCACATTTTTTGGCGTCCGCAGAGTCTATAGATTGTGTGATGTCCGCACGTGAACTATACGCGACCTGGGATGTCTCTGATTGAGTCAAGCAAGCGAACTAGTCTAACTGGCAAACTGTCTGACCGGACGGCCTGAACCTCGGGCCAAATCCACCCGTCACACCGTGAACTCCCCGCACTAGGTCAGGACCCCTAGCACGGTGAGTGGAGGGCAATTGATGGAGGGTGATTCGGCCCAACCTCATGATAGGGGGACACATGAACATGACTCAGCACAAATGACAACTCAGCGTGATTAGACCGCTAAGGTCCAATGTGGCATCTCGCTACAAGATGACTCTCCGATGCCCCGAGCTCTAATTCTTCCCAGTAAGAAGCACTCCGAACTATGGTTTTCCCGAGGGGAACGCCCCAAGCTACAAGCACTTCGGGTTAAGCTCATTCCCTAAGGCCCCAAGCTCAAGTAAGTCACCGCAAAAGTCCCACCTCGGGGAAAAGCACCTTGACACGATGCTAGCAGCTCGGCATAAAGCAGCTCGGTACAAGGTAGCTCGGCACGTAACGACTTAGCGTGTCACAAAAGGATTTCTTGCCTGACAACCGTACCCGCCAAATCTGCAGACTGCACCCACGCCTCTCGCCAAGCGGCGTCGTGACTGCCAACCCTGAAGGGTCGTACTCTGCGACGGTTACCTGCACCCGCCAGCTTAGCTCTGGCAAATAACGGCTGCGACAGAGAATCAACGGCGGTTGTACCCGATTTGTCAAGACACCAGCATATAAGGGACCTGACCCCCAAGAGAGAGAGGTAATCGTGCACCTTCACTCTTAGCTTTATTTTCTCTGCAACTCTACTTCTCTGCTCCCAGCTTTCACTCTCAGTTCAAACTTAAGCATCGGAGTGTTCCCGCCGGGCGAGCCCCCCGGGAATCCTTCACCTTCTTCTTCTTCTCGGGTGCCTTGTCCGTCGCTAGCTAGGAGCACAGCCTCTGCCAGGTAGGGGTGACCAAGTCGCGCTACATCAACATCCTTGGTTAAAAAGGAACTTTTGCTCTTATCAGTAACCTGATTTCTAATTCTGTATATTTTTATACATTTCAATATTATCTTTCCTATATTTTATATTTATATAGATATTGATCATCATACTTAGTTGCTATTCTTTATCGAGATTATATGTATATTTGGCCTTTCCTTGTACCATCCAATCTAGGAAAGATTTGGTTGGAGTTTTGAGTATTGAGAAAAAATTCAGAAATATGACATTTTCATTCAGAAGGTGGCATTTCCAAATCAAACACAGCTTCAGATCGTCAGACATTAGATATCAGACATGTCTTATATAACACCATGCATTTAGAACATGGATAATTTGAAGTTTCAATGCCATGCACCTTGTGTTGCTCAATCATATGCTCATAATCTGTTTAACCATTTAACTTATGCCAAAAGATTCAATAAGAAAAAGAAGATAGGATTTAATAGTGTAATTGTCCTTGATAGGTAAATCTGATGCAGCAGGTGACCTTAATTGGATCACTCTAAGCAATTTACACCCCTTTAACTGAATACATTAGTTCTCCTGGAAAACCAGCTTTGGGCATTTGGAAGTTTCTAAGTTAAATCATTTATCTTAGATTTCAATAGAATTTTGAAACCAAAACCAAAATATCCTCACCCTCGAAAATTGCTGAAATGGCCTCATTTCTATATATATTTCTTAACAACCGAAAATGCAATGGAAATTTATAAACCACAATGAAATCATTTCATTCCAGGTGTAGTTTCCAAATTCTGATGAAATTCTCAAAGTGTAGAGAGGTATTACATATATTAGATAATAACTTGAAAACTTACATTCTTTTAGCTAACATAGGACTCTGAAACTCAATAGATTCAAAGAAATACATAAGACTCATCACACCACTGCTTTGCTTTATTTTATGAACAATACGATGATGACAAACTAGTCTAGTTTTAAATATTACATTTTCCTCACTTTCCATGCCCAGCTCCATAACCTGATCCATGGCCAGAGCCTTCGCCATAACCAGAACCATTTCCTGACCCACGTCCACTGCCAGAACCCTCGCCATAGCCTTCGCCGTATCCGGAACCACTTCCAGAGCCATGCCCATGTCCAGAACCCTCGCCATATCCTTCACCATGTCCTGAACCAGAACCTTGGCCTTGGCCATGACCTGACCCGGAGCCTGATCCAGCACCAGATCCAGCATAGGACCCAGCAGATGAACCTGCTCCTGAACCAGCACCAGACCCAGCTCCAGAGGCTGCACCAGATCCAGAGCCAGAGCCAGAGCCAGAACCAGATCCTGACCCCGACCCTGAGCCACTACCTCCTAAACCAATACCTACTCCTGCACCCACTCCAATTCCTAAACCACCACCCAAGTCCAAACCCAAATCTTTCCTTGCTACTCGGCTTTCAGCCACAATAACAAAGGTAGCAACAAGCAAAACCAAAGGAGGTAGAAACTTCCAGCCAGCCATTCTTGCTTTGTGGCCAACTAAGATGTTTCTGGCTTTCTCCACTTAGAATCTAAAAATGTTAACACAAAGAAATATTGGTTGTGAATGAGAACGGAGGAGGAGAATCGCCTATTTATAATCATCTGTGACTGACGTGCACTTGATGGTCGGTCGGTGAAGTTGTAAAAGCGGAGTGGGAACTGGGGAGTGGAGGAAACAGGATATCTTTCTTTATTCTTGGAATTTGGCAATCTGTATTGATTCCCATCATTGGGCTGGAGCAGGACGTACCGCTGGATAAAGTCTGAGTTTGTGGCAGAGAAGGCTGAGACCTTTGGTGCTGCTTTTTGTCACAATCCATGGACGCTTAACACGTTCTTCACTTGTGCCGCCCAGTTGAAACTGGCCCAAGATAGTGGAGGATGAATGGCACTCAACTCATTTATTATGCGTAGGCTGTAGCCTGTAGCTGCTTTTAATTAATAGTTGATAGTTAATACCTCTCCTCCTTGTCTTAGTGCTCATCGGGTGGTGCTTCTTTTAAGAAGATTCTTTATTTTATGGAACAATTCCAAACAGACAATGAACCATGCACCATTGCATTTAGTATGGGCCGACCTTATGGCAATTCTATGTATTTCTAAGTTCTTTAAGTTGATTCTCAATCATTATGTATAGGACAATCCTGATGCAAAGGCCAAAGGTCCTGCTTTGGTTTCGGTCCCATTGCCGCTGCAGCTGTCCCATACCGGGAGGTTCAAACTTCAAAGTGTGTCTTGACACTAAAGTAGGGCAAATCTAGATGCCCATCATCCATGACAAGGGTAGTCTCACTACATTGTTCAATTAATTTACTCAAAACCATTACACATATATTGAATCAATTTGCATCTGATGACCATGGCTCGTATAATAGTTGAGCATGAAATTAATATACCAATTGAAAAGCATATCACTAAAAGGAGATTCAAGTAAAAGATGTATATAGAAAGATGGAAAAGAAATAGGGATTAATTAAGGCTATGTTTGGTTTGAAGGAAAAGGTAGGGAAAGGAAGGGAAAGGCAGGGAAATCGATACAAGGTTTGTAAAGGTTTCCCTACCTTTCCCTTCCTTTCCCTACTTTTTTCCTTCAAACCAAACACAGCCTAAGAAGCCAACTGAGTCAGAGGGTTAAAATCTTTCTTCATGAGAATAGAGAAGGTAAAATGTAGACTTAGTTTAATTTGGATTCCTTTCTTTTGGGTTCATTTAGATATAGGTGTTTCTGCAAAATCTATTGGATTAGGGTATTTTACTAGAACTCATAAAACCATAATAGAAACAAACTATCTAATTGGAAAGATGCATACCCAACCTTACAATTCTGAAGGTCTTAAAGGTGGTTGGTGACACTAACCAACCAGGACAGCACATGTTTTAATAAAAGGTATTCTGGTTAATGCAGTTTGGTCCTTAGATAAATTTCATTATCATGTTCACTATTTTGTAATTAAGTTGAAAATGTGACAAGTTGAATGGTCATTTTTATTTACTCATCAACAAAATCAGTTCTTTTAAAGGATAAGAAAAAAATGTTTCTTTAATTTGATAATGTAAACCAAACTGGCTTTTCTATGTGCAAAAATTACTTTTTTTTTTCTAATCAGACTAGTTATTTTTCTTACAGGGAAAATCTATCATGCAGGAAAGAATGATACCAGAAAGCTTTTCACCAATCAAAACCCCATGAACTTAACTTGATGAAAACCCACTTAATTGGTTACTACTTTTATAATGCCAGTTGATTGGTTATAAGTTTTTTCGGTATCATATTTTTCTGAAATCGTAGTCGAACCCTTTCTAATTATATTGAACATTATTGTAGGGCTGATATTAAGTGGTTAGAGAGAGAGAAATGGCTTCATAACTGAATTCCGCACCATTAACCCACAAACCAAGCCCCAATGTATAGCACACTTCACGCCCATGGAGCTCCAAAGCCTCATTATAGTACCAAAGCACATATAAAAACAACAACATATGATTCTGTATGTTTGTTTGCAGTGCAATAAGTATTTGTACTAATGTGAATGCAATTTTGGTCAATGAGTAAAAGTGCAAACTTGGTTCAGTTTTGCACTGTCAAATTTATTTCTCTTGTTTGGTCGTGATGGATGATGCAAATACAGATCTCGAAGCCGGAACCAACCTATTTTACATTGTACTATGAGTAGAAAGCTTGCTTCCACATTTTTAAGCAAACATTTTCCCATTTTAAATGAAAAAGTTATGAAAAAGCAAATTTACTTGCACTTTTAGTACAAAATTACTTTTTTACCAAACACTTGTGAAATTGAATTAGAGTGCAAATTCACTTCGACTCTATATACGCACTCTTACTAAACCCATAAGTTAAGATGTTGTCAATGGAAAGTATGGTAGTGTATCATACGATATGCATCAACTTTCAGGGTCATTGAAAGGCTAATGAATAATAACTTCTTTCTCTCATACACCGGCATGTTCATTCATGATTGGTTTCGTAGCTCGTTAAGTTGTTATGTGCAGATCCAGTAAGAGCCAGTACGTTACGTTGAACTGTTCTTAGAGAAACGAATCTTTTATTATTTTTAATCTTTTTTGGAAGCATGCATCCATGAATATTAACTTCTTTCTCTCATACTTTGGTGACCCTTGTTATGTTTCACATGAGAGCGTAACAGTTGGAAAAGAGATAGAAAGCAAAACATATATCTGACACTAATTAGATGACCAGCAGGTTCTTCAATTCAGAAGTACATTCATAGAATTCAGAACTACATAGGGTTTAGTCTCACCGTTTCCTTATTTATGTACAAAATGGTGATATTAATTAAACCTCTGAAACTATTGTTTTCTCTCACTTTCCATGGCCACTTCCATAGCCGGACCCATGCCCATAACCTTCACCATACCCAGTTCCAGATCCTTCACCATATCCATAACCACCTCCAGAGCCATGCCCATGTCCAGAACCCTCGCCATAGCCCTCACCATGCCCAGAACCAGATCCAGAGCCAGAACCTTGGCCTTGGCCTTGGCCATGGCCCGAACCTGATCCAGCATAAGACCCAGCAGAAGAGCCTGCTCCTGAACCAGCACCTGACCCAGCTCCAGACCCAGAGCCACTACCCCCTAAGCCAATACCTACTCCTGCACCCACTCCAACCCCCAAACCCAAATCTTTCCTTGCTACTCGGCTTTCAGCCACAATGACAAAGGTAGAAACAAGCAAGGCAAAGGCAAGAATAGAAAATGACCTCAACCAAGCCGAAGCCATTCCAATTAATCTACTTGTCTGCAACTCTATAGCGCCTGAACAAAATAAACAGCTAGCCCTCGTTTAGAATAAAAGACGAAGAGGTTGGGTACGTATATGTCTATCTATCTGCTTGGGCACTTGTATATATAGCAGGGCTTGTTGTGAAGAAAGAAAGAGTGAATCGGCCATTTATAGGTGCGGTGGTAGTGCGCTCTTTGTTAGTCGGTACTCGTAAACGCGTAGTGGCCTGGAAGTGGAGAAAACATGGAAGGATTTATTTGTTTATTTTGGCTGGACAAAGTTTGTGGTGGAGAAGGTAATAGCTTCTATGTTGCAATCGTTGTGCATTCGACACGTTGTCCCAACCAATATAGTGGAGCATGACTGTCCCCTTCGGATCAACAGCTCTTCAATCTTCATCAATGGCGTTCTTGTGCTTTTGGTTTTCATGAACAGTGCTATCCATTTAGCTTCTTTTTCCATATTARGCTGACCAGAAATTGCTTTTAAATATCAATGCATGCGGCATCCATTTAGGCATTTTCTTCGATACGTAGTATGCACTACCATTCCTATGTATAGGGCGGGCCTACAACTGCACCGGAAGTCAAGGCAATTTCGAGTGAATTTTTTTTTTCTTATTTCTTTTCGGTTTGGTGGTACGGCGCTTGGATGGAGAAGGTGCTCCCCATGGTGTCTCTCGAGGATTTGGTGGCTCTTAGCCACTTGGATTACAACTATTCAAAGAACCATGTTCCTGATTAGGATTGAAGTATGATAAGTAGACACATCTATACCATAATAAGGATAGAACACTAGACCACTTGATCAAATAGTATCATCTAAATGAATTATTTAACCTAAAAGCTTAAGTTATTAGGTGAAGCTTATTCTTTAACACAGATGGAAATGGTATCCAATTGTCTGAAAGTGAATTCAAATCCAATCCCATTAAGGGTGATCAGAATTTGACCTTTGTATATAGTTGGATCAAATATGGATCCACTTAGATAAAAAGTATTGTATCTATAGTAAAGATGGTTTGAATTTTGTGTTTTTACCAAGTGATTGTTTGAAGGGCTCACACAACGGCTTCTAACTTTGTAAGGTGGGCCCCAAATGGAAAGTCATCTAAACACCATGGCTGTGTTTGGCATCGATGCCATTTTCTGAGAAAACGATGCCACGTAGGCACCACATCAAAGAAAGTGGTGCTTCAAACAATGTCTTCTTGCTTGGTGCCATTTTTCTAGAAAAAAATATTGTTCTAGACATTTTCTCAGAAAGTGTGGTCTCAAGCAATGCCAAATTCAATGTTTTCTGAGAAAATGGTGTATTGTTGCCAACGATGCAATGATATGGCATCATCTTGAATGTTGGATAATATAGACCATATTGAAAATGTTGATGCCAGCACTGGTACCAAACAAAACCAGTGATGCTTTCTCGGAAAACTACATATGTGGCAAAACCGGTTCCAAACAAAATGGTGCTTACAACTCCACAAGCCCAGCACCGTTTTTATGAGAAAACGGTGTAATGTTCCCAGCACTGATTCCAAATACCTACTATATTTGGTGAAAAACCCAAAAAGCCCAACTACGCTTTAATTCAGCTAAAAAAACAACTTTCCTACGAAGCTAGTTTTAATATCTTCTTAATAGCTATCAATTCGATCAACACAGCTCAATCAAAGATGAAACCCTTCCAAATCAGTCTGTATCTATCTACTATAGGTAGGGGTGTCAATTGGACTGGATTTGGTCCAATCCAATCCAATCCAATGTCAATCCATTACAAATGGACCTGGTCCAATCTAGTACAATGAATATTTTGGACCGGTCCAGTTCAATGTCTGGGCTGTCCAATTTGTTCAAATTCCTATTAATTTAGATTGGTTCCAACTCAAACTTGGTTCATTGACACCTATGTTCTTATCTTCTATCAATGGACTATATATTGGCTAAATCCAATACAAATTCATTATGGATGGACCAGGTCCAATCCAATATGTCTTATTGGTCCGTCCAATACATCCAAATTCAATGTCTTATTGGCCCATCCAATCCGCCCAAATTGATTTTGATTTGGATGGAGTCCAACCCAAAACCGGTCTATTGACACTCCAAACTATAGGCACAAAGACGCCATACACACCTACCTACATGACACCACAGCTACACACTGAGAACATCTCCCCATAAATGACAACATACAAGTATGGGAGATGTTCTCCGATCCTAACATGTGGCAATAGTGTCCTATGGGTAGACGTAGGTAGCACTTTTGTGGGTGGAAAATCTGAATGCCTATCAAATGGGATCTAAATTGTCATATAGGTTCAAGTTTCATACGAATTATTTTAAATTTATTTTGTTCATGAAATACAGTATGAAAGCCATCTTTTAGTTCATTTTATTAATAACATATAATATTTTGGTGATTTTAGTTTAATTTACTTATACTATTCAGTATTTGATTATTATCCAAATTCAATTTGAATCTTATATAGTTCGATGGATAAGATCTATATATATATATATATATATATATATATATATTAAAACAAAGCGGTAAGAAATATTTTCCTTTTTTGAATTTTTTAATTTTTTTATTCCATGTCATTTTTGAAACAACCAATGAGACGCACTTTCCTAATAACCTAAATAATCTATTCTCCTAAAATTTCTCCTAAACTACCTTCCCCACTTTCTCCAGAATTATCTCTAATTTCTATTTATCTTCTAAATTATCTCTAATTTCTATTTATCTCCAAAATTATCTATAATTTAGTATAGAGTTTCTCTCCGAAATTATCTTTAATTCCTATTTATCCTCTCCCCTACTTTTTATCTATATCTATCTAAACAAACTTCAGATTAAACAATCTAAGAAATGGATTCTAACAGAATTATATAGTGACTTTAAATATTTATTAAAAACACAAAAAATAATTTTATATTTTTATAAAATATATCACAAAATTACGTAATAGCAATTTAAATTATGTTTTTCTGGATTATCAATTTAAATGTTTTTCAAATATTTAATAAAATGTAATAGTTTTAGATAAAAAAAATTCAAATAACAAAAACTTTAAATATTTTATAGATTATTTAAATAGTTAAATAACTAAATATTTAACATAACTAGATTTTAAATAGTTAAAATAACAAAATTATGTAAAAAATTTAAAAAACTTTTTCAAAGTAAAAAAATAATTATAACATAATATTGAAATTAATAATAATTTAATATTGTAAATCACTAATTTCACATATATCAAGTAATAATTCGAGAAAATAACTTTCAAAAAATTAATATTTATTAATAATAATTTTAAACTCTTAATCTATATTTATTATATAATTATATATACTAAAATTAATATTTATTGTCTTTCAGTAATTATTTATTGTTTTTGTGATAAATGCATTTTCAATGATTATGTATAAATTTATTTTGTTTTGTTATTTAATAGAAAATTTTCAATAATTATTGGAGATTAAACTACTATTAGTGTACTTTTTAAATTTAATTTATTGTACTTATTGTATTTATTGTATTTTTGTTATAACTTATTGATTAATATTTATTAGATATTAAACTATTATTTGAGATTATACTATTTATTGACAAAGTTAATATATTTTCCATACTTATTGTAATTTTTCATTATCAATATATTTTCAATAATTGTGTATTTTTTCTATAAATTTTCAACAATTATTGGAGATTAAACTATTGTTATTTATCAGAAATGAGACTATTAATTTAGCTAAAATTATGAGTGTTCATGAGTTGGTTCGGTTCGGTCGTAGGCTATTTGGCCAACCAAATTGACCTGGTCAGGTTGGGGAGTTGGTCAGTTGAAACCGACTGACCTTTTGTGAAAAGCAACCCACTTAAGTTTTATCGGTTTCGGTCGATTTTTTGGTTTGATTAGTCGGTTCAAAAGATTTAAATTTAAAAATTTAATTTAATTTTAGAAATTATAGGGAAATTATTAAAAAATAAATTTAAAATTTAGATTTATGATATAAAACATTTTAGACTAAGAAATATGGGAAGTTTCCCACTTTTCCATATTTAAAATATATAACATTAATATATATCCATGGTTAGGTCGTTCGATTTTGGTTGATTTACAAATGGCAAAAGTGAAATTTCCAACTTGGTCAAATTGGGAAATTTTTTAACCAAAGCCGATCTAAAATACTAGAAAACCAACCAACTCGGGTTGAGTTGATCAGGTTGGTCGGTTTCTTCAGTTTGATGAATAAACCTAACTGAAATTAATTATTATTATTTTGTATTATAAAAAAGTTATTAAAAATAGTATATAAAATATGAATAATTATTTATTATTTAAAAAGTTGAAAATATAAAACAATTATTTAGTAAAACACATCTTATAGTTTTACATATTTACTTAAACATACCTTATAGTTTTCATTTTATTAAAACATCTCATATATTTTACAACTTATTTACTTAATCAATCTTTCATTAAGTAGTGTTTGTTTTGCCATTAGGTCCATGATTTTTATTCCAAAAATACCTTTAACACTTTTTTTGTACAGAAAACAAAATTAACCAAATATAGCCCATAGAGTGGTTATCCGTGTCTTATAAAGGGAAAAATTGGTATTTTTATTTTTATTTTTATTTTTTTTATTAAATTTATTTAAATGAACATTAGGGTCAACACTATCATTTTCCACTGTCATCTAATGGAAGATTTATTAAATCCATTACAAATTATAAGTGGTGCTTTAGTAAAATTTTAACTATAGTAAATGACCCCTTTCTATTAGTAAATGACCCCTTTGTATTATTTAGCTTCCGCTTAATAAATCTTGTGCATCACATGGGTCCCCGCTAGTATATATATTAAAACAAAACGGCCAAGAAATTTTTTCCTTTTTTTGAATTTTTTATTTTTTTTATTCCATATCATTTTTAAGATAACCAATGAGAAGCACTTTCCCAACAACCTAAATAATCGATTCACCTAAAATCTATCTTAAACTACCTCCTCCACTATCCCCCACTTTCTCCAAAATTATCTCTAATTCCTATTTATCTTCTAAATCATCTCTAATTCCTATTCATCTCCAAAATTATCTCTAATTTAGTAGGGAGTTTCTCTCCTAA